AAACCGAATCTCAATAAATATCTCGGGTAGTTTAGGGCTAGCCACAGCCATCTAAGTCAATTTGGAAAGGCCACAGAGTCCTTGGGCCGTGTGTGGCAATGATGATTGATAAAGACTCTGGGAAAACTGATAATGAATAGGTCTAAGTCACTACTGGCCCAGGGGTTACAGCAATGATTCAGAAGTTCGGCTGGAGAAAAATCAATGAGGGATCATTTCTAGCTCAGGCCAGGAATGAGTGGATTGTAGAGAGAGAGGGAGACACAAAGAGAAAGAGAAGGAGAGAGAGAAAGGAGAGAGAGGTGTGACTGCAGCCCCGCAGTGCTGCATTTCTTCGTCGCTGGAAGACAAAGGGCTGGAGAGGAAATTGACTACAGTGCACTGAGGCAGCTTGCGGTGGCCAGCGGCCAGACTGCAGATTCAGCTCCATAACCGGAACAAGACGGTCTGCTCTATCAGCTTTGTGCGGTCAGAGAGCGGCAAGTGGATTGGGTTCTCCATCGCAGCTCTCATTGTGCTGAAGTCCAGGCAAGGACAACAACAACCAACAAGACAATCAAGACAACCAAAAAGGTCTTTATGGTGGAAAAATGATCAAGGAGGAAATAAAATCAAGAAAATAATAAAAAAAAGGAAAACACCAATAACAGTGAACAACAACAACAAACAACAACTGTAATAATAATAATAATAAGAAGAAGAAGAAGAAGAAGAATCACAACAATAATAATGACCTCAGTGCATCTTGGGAGCATGATTAGATGTCTGGATGCTATGACAGACTATCAAATTCGAAATTTGTAACTGACAGCTTGCTATACTGTAATCATCTTGATCATGAGATGGAGCGTGTAATTAAAACTCTACAGCCTATCACTCTTTCATCATGTGCTTTCTGTAATACCCTGCTCAGTCCCAGAATGCTCTCTTCCACTGTTTCCTTGGCAACAGTGGGTAAGAAGGGGAGGTGGGATAGTGGGAAATAGATGGGGATACACATCACCATCAACACAACAAAAACAACAACAACAACACAAACACGGTCCAAAAAAATAACACAATGTACACAATACACACACACACACACACAGGTCATTAACTACACCCCCTCCTAACCTTTGACCTTTGCCTTCTTGCTCTTTTGCATTTATCAGCTAAGGTCAAAGTGACAAGACAGTAGCAAAGAGGGAGTCTATAGAAAGAGAGAGACAGATAGAGAGAGAGATAAATAAGGCAAAGACCTGCATTAAAGGGAAATTCCACTGACTCAAAATTAAACTAATTCACTGGTGCATAATTAAATCTTGAAGATAGAAACGAAGTCATTCAGACAGGTTTGATGTGAAATGCCCCGTTCTAGAAAAACAGCAGTGGTGATGGAAACGAGACATCTGATGAGTTCACAGTCTCTAAAAGCTCCATCATAGAAAGTTATTACATGAAATGCTTATGAATGCTCTGCCTGATGCCCAGAGAGACATTATGATAAAGTTCTGGACTAAAATGTAGTCATGGTGGAGTAGTGCATAAAGCGCATTGTAAGGTAAAACAGTCCCCCCCCCAAAAAAACAACAAAAAAACAACAACACTATGTTAGATTTACAGAAATTTGCTGAACTGCAGAAACTTGTGCAGCTTTCACTGCTGGTTTTGGATAGTAAATAAAATGGCTATATTTTGTGTTGTAGACATCACGGCCCCTGGTTCCCATCACCACCACTGTTTCTCTACAACGAACCATTTCACATCAAACCACCCTCAACAACTTTGTTGACATCTCAACCATTAAATTATGCAGATTTCGAGAAATCAGTGCAATCCCCTTTTAAGAACAAAAGGCCACAGCAGGAGAGGCCGGTTAAGCGTCCACTCCCGGGTCACCATTTGAAAGCTTGTGGCTATATGTTACATTCCTATCAGGGCACAGCCCTCACCATCACCATGACAACAGCCCAGGTGTGTCACAGAAGCCCAGCAGTAACTTACCTGCGCCATGATCTGCACATCTGACAATACGTTTATGTGCCTTGTTCCATCTGAATATCAGAATTAGCCCATTTTTTGCCCAAGATAAGTCTCTATACAGTGTGTCTCTGTATGTCTGTCTAGTGGAGTTCTGTTTGTCAGTAAGTACGTCAGTATGCTAATGTGTCACTCTAGCCTTTTGTCACACTCTAAGACAGTCAGCAGGTGTCCGGTCAACACTCTGTGTGCATGTGTTTGTTTTCATACATTTTTTTAGGACAGAAATATGTCCTGACTATGTAGGAAAACTAGAGAAAAACAGTTGTGATCGACCTTGTCAGGACCGGCACAAAGTTCCTGACAAGGTAAAGTGCTTTTAACAAAAGCTGCGAGTATCAGAGCGAAGAAAGTCGTTTTGGTTAATGTGGTTAAGGTCAGGGTTAGGGTTAGATTCTTATTACACATAGTTACATATAATTTAACACGTGTGTGACTCCCCGTCTGGACAAGGTTTAAAAACAAACATGTGTGTATGTGTGTGTGAGGGGATGAAGGGAGACAGGAGAAGTGTCCTGGCTCACTCACACAACCAGGTCTGTGGCTCACGTCCTCACGCATTAGACAGCAGTGTTTGAGCACAGCCAGGCCTCCTCGGGCAGCGTCCTGCTGTTCAGAGTCCAGACTGCGTCTGGGGTGTTGCTGCCTTCATGTGTTTGAAGCGTTGTCCTGTTTCACACTTGCAAAATCTGTTATGAAGACTTCACACTGATGTGCTTTGTAGTCAGAAACTAGACTCATTAGCGCACCCTATTTAGCAAACCCACTGGTAGTTAGCAACATCTATTATGGCATCTCTCAAACATTTTCCTGTATTATAAAATGTACAAAATGCAACCAAAAATCCTATTTCCCATCTGCAAAATGGTCATTTTAAATGGTAAAAGTCTTTGTGTTCAAGTGCTTTGTAGTCAGACAAACGGAGGAGTGGCTAGTCGAGCCTATAAACAATCCTTCAACGTTAACTTCACATTTGCTAGCTATCTAACCTGGTTTATTTTGGTATCATTCCCACATTTTCCACATTTTAATTATGTACATATTGTAGCCACCCGTCACATATCTCCCTTGCAAAGTCACTGATTCAAATTCTTTTTAATTCAGTGCTTGTATTTGGAAACTTGGTAAACTCACCACTAGTTAGCTAGATAACCGTTTCGGTTATTTGGTTATTATCTTTTTAACAACTGTACAAGAACTTTGGAATTTGAAAAATAGATGACTTCTTAGCAGAGTTTGTTTGGTAATCTCTAATGCTAGCTTGTATCTATTTTGGTATCCTAGCATTTTCCACGCATTGAAAAAAATTAATACAATGAATTGGCCCCATTTGCCACTTGCAAAATCGTAATTTCAAAGACCAATCAAGTGCTAGTCCAGCCGATTTGATAAATGTGCTACTAACATTAGATCAAAGGTCACCAATACCTTCCTGCAGAGTTTAGTACCAACCTGCATCTAATAAGTTGTGCTGCACCCTAAATGAATGTTAATGCATCTGTTCCAGCCAGTCATGGACTCCTGAAGACGTTAATTAGCAAAGCAGGTGTGGTAGATTGTGATCAGAACTAGGCTCTGCAGGACCAGATCATTAGCTTGTTAGCCTGTGCATTTTGGCATCATCCTAACATTTTCCAACACTGTAAAAAAAAAAAAAAAGTACATAATCACATTTCTTACTTGCTTAGTCCTAGTTACAAAGTCTCTTCAATTCAAGTGCTTCCTAACATTTCCCAATCTGTACTTTTGTACTTTGTAGTTACTAAATATGTAATGCAACAATTCACTAAATGTACGAACAGATGAAATAAAAATATCTTTTTGTTTAATTTAGAGGCTGACAACTTGATTTTCTTAACATCTTGGCTAAAAGATATTGGGCTAAACAGTCTACATGACAGCTAAAAGGCTGAACTGCTTCTCCATTAATATTAGGCTTTGAATTAAAGCATTAACTTAAATAATCAAAATAAAAGAATACCTTCCTTAAATGACTTAGATGGTTCAAGTCTCTATGCATTTGGTTAGAACTGCCTTAAGTAGTTTTAAACCCAGTGTGGAAAAACTAATGCATATAGTTTTGTGTCACTGTTTAAAAAAGAAATAAACCACTTGGTGCCCAACACCCATTACTCGTGATAAAATCGCAGTAACGCAGGGCCTGCCATGGCTTTTTGCTTTAATAATTCGTAATAATTAGTCCTGTTTCCTACTTGCAAAGACATGATTGCGAAGTCTCTGCATTTCAGTTCTTTAGTAGCGATTCTTCAGAGAGGATTTGCAAGCCTAGCCTCTTATACATCGCTAACATTAGCTAGTTGGCTTGTTAGCCTGATCCATGTTGGTATCATCCTTTATTTCCCCCATAATGAAACCAAAGGTTACAAGTCATAAACTTGGGGTAGAAAGCTTCTACCTGTAATTATGACCTGAAAGGACATTCATGTGCAGCTTTTAGGGTCTGGAACTCTACTTATGATTATTCTGACAACACATGAAGGCAGCAAGTGTACTGATGGGTTGGAGTTCTACTCTGTGGCTGCTGCCTCCTTGTGGCTGGAGGGCTGTGCTGAAGCACTGCTCACTGGAGCCCAGGGGTGGAGGGCAGTTCCAGGAAGGAGAAGAAACCAGCTTTATTCAAACACAAACAAAACACAAGCCCACTCAGTGGCCCAGCACCCCGACACACGCAGACACAACACAGTGTTGAACGGGGAGAATTTGGGGTCTCGCTTTTGAGCAATCCCAATAAAAAAGTTGCAGATTAGTGAAGGTGTGTTGTGACAGTGGCAGCAGCCTTTTGAAGGACGTGTGGGGTGACGGGTCACTGCGAGAGCACAGGGAGGAGGAGGAGGAGGAGGAAGAGGCCACAGTGACACCAAACAGAGCACGGAAGACACACACATGAGGACACAAGGACAGACACAGACGGGACAGTGACAGACAGTGTAACGGTGTAGCAACAAGAGCTGACATACAAACGCATGACACGACACAACCTGAGGAAGAGGAAAACAACAACAGCGTGTCAGATAAACAAACTCCAACACACGTGTCAGAGACCACCCAATCTCCCCCAAAAGACACACACAGTCCACAGCTTAGAGTACAAAATGAAACATACAAACATGTTCATTCAGACACGAGAGCAGATAAAGTGAGTAAGTGTGAAGTGTTTACTTTGTACTGTTGACTGGTGCTTTGAGTAATGTTGGCGTGTAATTATCTGGAAGGAGAGTAACATGTTCAAGGAATATAGCTAAAGGTAGAGAGAGAGTGCGAGAGAGAGAGAAAGAGAAAAAAGAGAGAGAGAGAGAGAGAGAAAGAGAGAGAGAAAGAGAGGGAGAGGAAAGTAAGATCATCTTAAATCTAGTCAATAATTCTAGGTACAATCATTTAAAACAATTGAAAAATATCTAAATATAGGTTGAAAAATCTTACATTTGAGATATATTTTAGATATACTGAGTACAGCGCAGAAGAAATGGTTAATGATCCAATCAGGGTTTTTTCTCTGTGGCATCTAGGTAGACACAGCCAAGCAAGCTTTTCCCTTTGGACTTCAGGAGGTGGACAGAAGGCCTTATATGTTGGATTAACTACCAACATAATTAGGAACTGACAGTAGAACGTGGGACCAAATTTGAAAAAAGTCACCTAAGGCCTTCTACAAGTTCTAGATATGCCACTGACTGTGAAAACAAGCTGTAGTCGATCCAGGTTTCCAATCAGTTGTTAGAAACGCAAAACCGCGGTGGCAGCTCTATGTCAGGACTCTTTACCGAGTCACAGTAAAACTGCTACAAGATAAATCTATGTTAATGTTTGCTACATAAAATATATGAAATGTCTTTCAAAACCTTCAAATGTCCAAGTTTAACCTAGAACGTCCAAAAATGCGCCCCAGTGTCAGCTTACCGCTAACATACTATTAGAAATACCATAGCGATTTAGTATTATACATATTGGCAAGTTGTAGTTGTTTTTTCTCTCATCTTTCGACTGTATATTTGGCAATTCAAAACAGTATTATTGATGGCTAATGGCTGAGTATATTTAAAATGATTTCACTTGCCATTATATCATCTTTTGTACTGTAGAAAAACAGAGAGAGAGCGAGAGAAAGAGCGCGAGAGAGAGAGAGAGAGAGAGAGAATGGAAATGAAGAGTGGGGAGAAGGATAGATATGATATTCCTCAGGGACAAAGAGGCCATAATGGAACTGGCAAGACTCAACACATGAGTCAAATACTCCAGGGAAACATTCATTCAGTTCTATGTGTGTGTGTGTGTGTGTGTGTGTGTGTGTGTTTGGGGGAGGTTGTCCCGACTGAAGAATATTAAAAGCTTTTAGTCTAATCTAGTAATCAAATCTAGTGTAATGTATGTGTGGAGGTGTACATGAGCTAAACTGGCAGTTTAAAATCAGTGTAAATGTGATAACACAATAACACACATACACACACACACACACACACACAGGGGTAGACAGATTTGCCCTGCCCACTGGGCCTCTGAGCCGATGAATCTTGTGGCTAAAGAATGTACACACATCATGAACACACTGTATTTATTAGGGTTGCGCATGGGTACTTGGTACTCGGTTAACTTTTGGTGCCAGTATTCAAACACTAAAATCTGAATTTGGGCACTTGTTACATTAGGTGAAAATACACAATAGTTCAGTGAAACACCAATTTTATATTGTAACAGGACTGCAAAACGTGACAGTTTTGCGAGTAAGTATATCACACTCTGCTACTTTGAGACGTGCTTGAACTGGTGCAACTCGGCTAACTACTCTAAATGATGTTAACAACGAAATCAAATTTCTCTGACAAATTACTACCCTGCATAGAGTCCTCATCATCCAAAGTTGTTAGTCCATTAGCGCATTTGAAGAGGCAGCTTCTGTTCTGAATCCAACACAAAAACCTACAGATATCACGTTAGGTATTTTTATATAATAATAAACCTGTATCATCTAAAAAGTAAGCCTTTCGGTCCTGTTGTTACTTTTCCTTGCCTGCAGTTAACCAGATATCCGTTCATTAACTTTTGTGGTTAATGCTCAAATATCACAATTTGTTGGAATGCACATTTCTAGTATAATATAGGAAATATTTATTAAAATCTACATACTAACATTGCCGCTGTGGTGACTATGGTAGTCCTCCTGCATTTATGGTGTGTCCTGACATCATCTGATCTAGGTTATTTCATTAGGCACCGTGTAGCTACTGCAGTTACAGCTTCTCAGTGTAACAGCTGCATATTCAACACCTTATTTTATTTATAATGCATAGGGTGATATAAGCAAACTTCAGGCAATGGCCAGCTTGGAATCAGCCAATGAAATTCAGCCAATGACCAGCTCGCAATGTGTTAACTGTAACCACCACAGTGGCGGTGTGTTGATCATTGTGATTACAGTTTAAAACTGTGACGAAATCTGATTTGTCTATTTCTTTCTCAGACCAAACAATGTGTGGGCAACATTTCTCTGGGCAATAGGCAACGTCTACCCCTGCACTCACAAACACAGTCTTTCACCTATATACTAAGAAGAGTGAAAATGCTGTGTATCTATTTAAAATCATGAATTAAGTGCATTTTAAATAAACAACATAATCATATTAATTCACTACACGTACTGTATGAGTGTGTGTATGCAAACATTTTGCTCATGTTTATAAAAAATCTAGGAATCTCTGGTGAACGTGAGCGTTTGTCTCAAATCTACACATGAATGTTTGTGGCATGAGTGTGAGACTATTGCCTCATACATATGCATAACAAGTGTGCACAACTTTCTTATGCATACGTATATTTAAAAGTTTCTTTCATACTAATGTTATTTCGGACTCTCAAAGGAACCCTATTGGATTGTGTGAGCAATCACTCCACCGCAGAGCAGGTAGTGCTAGGTGACATCACACTATGTTGTTAATTTTTTTAGTTTTACTGGTAGTGATAGATAACAAACACAATATATATTAAGTATATCTATGGTAAAGCAACAGTGATTGCCAATCGGCCAATTTAGTATTTTTAGTTTGGCGGATTTGCTTTGTAATTTTTGAGCGAGTGTACTTGTGCTGTGTTTCAATGCTGCTGCAATCATGTGTGATTATGCTGCAACACGTAACAAAACACTGCAGCGTAATTACACAAGATTTATCAAGCTCAATATCCAATCACCTCTTACTATCAATGCTTCGTTTGATTCATGTTATTTAAACAGGAAACTGATTTTTGTTTACAAATTTAAAATGCCAGTTTGGCTCATTAAAGAGCAAATAATGTTATTTATATTGTGGCTAATAAAATATGCTAGAAATGTGCTGGAGTGTTTCATGTTTCCATTTAGCCCACGCAGCGTGAGCTTCAGGTTAAAAAAAAAACTATCAGCCGATTCATGTGGAAAGTGTTGTGGTACAGAATTTGATAAATATTGCCCAGCGCTAAGTGCAGGTGCCGTTTTTAGTGTTACCTCTGTGCCGCTATGGTTTGATCCAGGAGGAGGCGGAGTTTGCATTGAGGTCCTGCTGTAGCAGAGGCACCTCCGGCTTCAGCCACTCCTCTCCTGGGAGGGAGGCAGCGCTGGCAGCTGCAGATTCTGGGGGTTTATATTGTGTGGGGAGGTGTGGGAGCAGGGTACAGGTGTGTGAAAGAGTTCAAGTTTGGGACCAGTGTGGTTGGGGGTGGGGCAGGAAAGGCAAGAGTGGAGGAAAGAGGAAAACACCAAAGCATGCAGAGGAAGATGGAGAGACGTAAAGAGTGGTAAAGTATAAGGCAGAGGAACAAGGGGGAGAGCAGGGTAGGTGAAGGGGTGGAAGAAAAGATACAGGCGAGCAGCACAGATGGATAAAAGAGTCAAGCAAGGAAAGGCAGGAAGTTGGACGTATAGAGACCAATGGAGAGAGAGAATAAAATTAATGAATGAGAGCAAGAAAGCGAGGGTGAGCAAGATAGACAGATAGACAGATAGATAGACAGATAGACAGATAGATAGATAGATAGATAGATAGATAGACAATCAGACAGACAGACAGACATAGAGAGACAGATAGACAGTCAGACAGATAGATAAGGCGACAGGCGGACAGACAGACAGGTAGATACACAGATAGACAGACAGACATATAGATAGATAGATATTAGATAGACTGATTGATGGAAACAGAAAGAAAGAGCAACAGATGGCTGGACACAGACAGAAAGACAAACAGATGGACAGATGGATGGATACACAGATGGATAAATAAACAGACAGGCAGACAGACAGACAGACAGACAGACAGATAGACAGACAGACAGACACAGACATACAGATAGATAGACAGATAAATAGATAGATAGATAGATAGATAGATAGACAGACAGATAGATAGATAGACAGACACAGACATACAGATAGATAGACAGATAAATAGATAGATAGATAGACAGATAGATAGATAGATAGACAGACAGACAGAGACAGATAGCACTGAAAGAGAGCTTGTTGGCCAGATGCAGTAGATGTTACTACTATCTTTCTGAGTCTGTATATGGGTTATGAACACGTTTATGCAAGAGTTGCATCATTTGAAAAACTTGTGAAAAACAATGTGTATCGCTGATTACCACTGCAGTAATACGCATGTGTATGATATTTTATCCCAACAGGGTTTAATTTCCCTTGGCTTGCTGGCGGCTGGTCATGTGACATTATAACTCCCTATTTCTCGATTTCCTGATAGAACAAATTTTGTGTTTTGTAATGAGAACAGATGAATAGATTTGCATGTGTCCAGTTCACTGCTTTTGTGGGAGCAGCTCTGCTGACGACTGACTGCTGTCAGAATGATGGATGAATATGAAGCAGAACGAGTGGGGAGGTGGAGAGCGGTGAGGGGGAGGGCCAGAGTGTGTGTTTAGTACTTGTGTTGATATATCAGTCATAATGTCATATGGCGGGGGCTGTCCAGCTCCGGTCCTAGATGGCTTCAGTCCAGGACAGTTTGGTGATTTCTCCACAGACTGCTCTACAATTAGTTAGCGGGTTTAGTGGGTGTGATTGAGTAGGCATGGGAAATAACTAGGGTCGAAAATTCCCAATATGCAGCACTTTTGCCTATTAAAACAGTACAGGACCACAAAATGCAGCAGCTGTCCTTGAAATGGCATCTCTTTATGTCGACTTACAGTAAAATTAATGAATGTTTTTGCCTTGCCCTGTAAAGTTACCATTTTGGACATACTTATTTTAATTTGGACAGAGAAGATATATTTAAATAAAAAATATCAGAGCAGTATTTAAGAAAAAAAAAAAAAAAAAGTTGAATTGTGTCAATACTCAATGTTTTACTTTTGAAACTGGAAAAGAAAAAGTGCCTTTGGATCATCTCTATACTTTTTTTCCTGTAATTGTAGGCCCACACATGTTATATGTCTAATTATTTTAAAATGCTATTGCATGATTTAGCTTTGACTGAATCTAAAATACTGCTTATTGTGCAAGTTGTCTGTTGATGGTAAAAGGCTAGCTAGCATTCCCATTTATTGCAAAGGTTATTCTGTATATTACACGTCCCCATTTTTTGTATACAATGCCACTAAATCTCAGTCAGTAGGGCAAAAACTGTCCATGAAATAAACATATTATTTTCCGAATCAACAAACTGTGCTTTGGCCCTCCAGGACCAGGAGACACCTCTGCCATATGGTATGTAAATAACTACGGTCTGTTTGTGCATTATGAAGTTCTGATATGGTGACCTTGTATTGAGTAGCAGTGTGTGTGTAGGTGTGTATGTACATGTATGAGTATCATCTGAAACTCATGCGTTCCTTACCTCTCCTGATTGTGCTCTCTGTAATGTACACTGAAAGTGTGAGTGTGCTCAGGTGTGTGCATACCTTTCCTGACGTTGCTGTCTGTGGTGCGGAACTCTCCGGTGCTGAGGAGAAAGCAGGCGCGGTCGTGCGGGTACCGCTCGCGCCCCGTCCCGGAGCCCAGCCCACCGGTGGCTGGACTCCTGTCGTCCGGACCCAGCACCTGGTCTATTGTGGGGCAGTCTTCATTAGCCAGGGCGGCGTTAGCGGCATCGCCATTCTGCTTAGAGTCTATGACAAAAGAAAGAGGAAGAGTGAGAAACTTTTTGTTTACATTCTTTTTATTTAAACTTTGCTTAAAGCAGCATTCCAGCAGTATTCAACAGCAATGCATCCCTCAGCCTCACTGGTCTGTTGGAATTCATGATTTCTTGTATCTTTTTATCATTTTGTTTATCAATGTTCTTTCACTACGATACCCATAATGCATTACCCAAATACATCATATAACTATTGCTGTGTAAACCAATCCTGACTACTAGCCTAGCCACTGATCTATACACTCATAAATACAACCAAGATAGCTAGCATTACTGTAACTCTGACCTCAGTCGTCAAACAAATTTGTACAGAAAACAGTTTATTCCGCACAAACATGGACATCAGAGACTAGTTTTTACTCTTAAAACCAACAGAAAAGAAGTCAAACTGAGATGAAGTATGTAAAAGTTTGGGCACCCCTAATCATTTTGTTAAGTTAACACATCCTCTATGGAGAACACAGTTCTGCCAGTTTAATGCACAATTATTGTTTATTTGCAAAATTTAACATATTGGGGAAAAAAATACAGATTGTGACCTGTGCAAAAGATATGGCACATTTATTGTTTTATTCCAATATGTTAAACTCAGTAATAAACAGAAATTGTGCACTGACATTTGCAGAAGGAGACAGAAGACATAATAAAAAGTACATAAAGAAAATAACTCATAACTGAGAGACTCGTAACTCATAACCTCAGAACATAACTGAGGTAAAAAATCCCAAAAATTACTCTTCGACTTGTAATGTGATTTTGCAATCCTGTCATATTTATTTCCATCCATATTTTGATGTATTTTATATTTTTTATATATTTTTCGCAAACATATAAATTGGAATACGCTTCAGACTTTTACTGTTACTCAGCATTTTTACAGTGATGTAAACTGCGTTCTGAACGTGTGCGTGAGCTACTCTCGCAGTGCACCCAACAATAAAGGCAGCACAAGACGGCTTCTTTGTACAGTGATAGAAAACACGGAAGCACACAGAAAACTCCAGTACCCCACTTTACTATGATCACTGTGAACTCTACGCTCAGCTTTTATTAAATCAAAGGAGATACAGACAAAGTGGATGTACTGTCAGTAAGAGAGGAGCCTGGGTTTACATACATACACAAGTCACACAATTCTTTATCACAAATACTTTCACAGTCTACACTAACACAAATGCAAAAAAAACACAGAGAGAAGCTGCTGCAGGGGAATTTGTGCTTATAGTTTCCGACGCAGCTGTCAAATCTAATCTGACACTGTACAACAATTTACAGAAATAAGCCAGGGGCAAGGCCTGCTACGGACATGGAGAGAGGGATGAATAACGCTCAACGCATAAACTTTGTCTTCTCTGCAGACCAGTTTCTGCTCCTGCCATGCTGAACGTTATAAACTTTCACTATGACATGACGCACATGCGCAGAACATAAGTTTCCGATTGGGAATGTAATCAGATACAGGTGTTCACACAGATATTATTCTTCTATTTAACGGATTATTTACAGGATTACCCACGTTGCTCAATCGAAATAGAAATTGTATTCCGAAAGGCCTCAATTGGACTAGTCTATTCCGATTGAGGTGTGTACATGGATGTTTTCTACTCCGATTGAGCTATTAGTCTGATTATTAGGCTGCATGTAAATGTGGCTAGTGAGAGAGAGAGTGAGAGAGAGAAAGACAGACCCATTTCAGCCATTAATCTTTATCTAGGAAGAGAGGAGAACAGCAGAGTGTCATTCATATACTTTAGTGGATTGAACTGGAGCTCTATTATAATTTTTTTTTCTTTTACCCCAGTTCTCATTAAAACAATGTGTCTATGTATGTGCTTCTCACTATTGAAATTTAATATTTTTGCTTTTTTATTGGAGTTTGTATATATATATATATATATATATATATATATATATATATATATATATATATATATATATATATGCACACACACACATTATTTATTGCAACACATTAAGTGTTAAAACCTTTTTTGTTATTTTGGTTCACATCCTCACATTTTACAAGGAAAGCATTAAAGTAAAAAGATTCAGTAATTAAAAGTAATACAAACTCTTTTACAATAAAAAAGCAAAAATATTGTTTCAATAGTGAGAAGCACGTATATAGACACATTGTGTTAATGAGAATTGGGGTAAAAGAAAAAAAACCTTAAAGTATACATATCGCTGCTGTTGGAAGAAAACCTTGTATATCCATTTTTATCGTGTTTCAGTTTTGACATAATTTGAAAATACCTGCTGGCCTTTACATTGTGTGTAAATATCATTTAAATATATATATATATATATATATATATATACACACACACATATACATACACACACACACACACACACACGCATACATATATATATATATATAACATATATATATATATATATATATATATATATATATATATATATATATATATATATATATATATATATATAAATGAAGGCCCCCTGCCTAAACTTGCCTATTTACACATATACATTGTCACTGTGGGGCCTTTTTAATTTTTTTAAACAGAATTTTTAAAAATGCCAGCTGTCTTTTAAGTTGTGTTAAATTTCATAATGAATAAAGAAAACGCTCCAAAGATATTAAGAAAAAAATGAACTTGTATTCAAAGTTAAGAGTCATTTTTATTTTGAGAGTTATTATTAATATGTTCATAAATAGACAAAATGCTGCTGCTAGAATTCCTACACGCTCTACAGGGTGGGAGCTACAAAGTACTGTTGGCTAGAAAGGGAGATGGCTAATCAGGCAATGTGGTCCCCTCTGTTGTTGCATTCATAGACAATTAATTTTATGTTTGCTGATTAATCATCCGCTACAATTTCAGCTCCTTCCAGCTCCAGTTAGAGGAGTTTCACTTTCCACAAAAATATGATGAAATTCTAGGAGGAATGAAACTAGCAGTGTGGAGGCTCAGAAAAAAGTCTCTTCTTGGCACCTCAGTGCTGTGACAGGTCACATGACCCGCAATGTGGACATCTCCACTACACTAATGTGAACCCCTTACATAAAGCCTGCATGAAGGCAAGGCAAAGCAAGGCAAGCCTATTTATAAAGCACCTTTCATACACTGTAGTTATTTAAAGTGTTTTACAAATTATTTAAATTAAAATTTAAAAAGTAACAGAGTAAAAGAGAATGGAAACACAATCAAAACGTGAATGTAACAACAGACTTTAAAAGAGAGGAAATTAATCACTAAATTACAAGTCAAAGTAAAATTTAAATTAGGATAATAAAGAGCTGTAACAGGAGATTCACCTACACAGCCAGGTGATCCTGACTGTCAGCATGCACACTCTCTCAGAGCTTAAATGGATAGCAAACCTGGCTCAGTTAAAAAAGGGAGAAGACAAAAAGATCCTCGTCTTATCTCTTAATTAGTGGTTGATTTGGTGGGACTGTGACTATTTTTAGGAAGAAAGGACTGTATAATAATCTACAGTGTAAACACAAATGAATTTATATCTATATTTTACATTTTCTTGTATTCTTCCCTAAAGTCCACTCATAAAATCTGTGATTTAATGCATCAAAAACAATTCTAATTCACTATAACATCACCATTTCCACGTAGGTTCACAAGTAGTTTTGGATAGTAAATAAAATGGCTGCATTTGTGTTGTAGACATCTGGACCCCTGGTTCCCATCACCACCACAGTAAACAAATCTGAGTCTGTATGTTTCTTTACAATGAATCATTTTCCATGAAACCATTCTCAATGACTTAGTTTACATTACTGACTGAATTATGCATAATTACTGTAATTCCCTTTAAAACAAGGATTAAACAAGCTGTTTTTATTAGTGTACCTTTAGGACTGGCTGCCCTGTATTGTGCCTCCTTCAAATAGCAGGGCTGGCTTAAATGTTTAAAACAAACTCCCACAACCCTGTTGAGTTTGAAACAGGCAGTTCTGGCAATTTAAGTGTTCATATTTGGACTGTGGCACTGCATTGAATACTCCACAGTGTTTACGTACTACATCGAGATCTTACGTTGAGCACATTATTTTGAACACCTTGCATTGCAAACAGTTTTATTATATACAACTAAAACTTTTTCCTGTGTTTTCCGACTTACTTGCTTCTAAATATTAAGCCGTTCTCTTCTCTTGCCCCCTTTCGTCTCAGCATGTGTCTGAATGTCCTGTGTTTATTAAATCTTCTAAATTCCATTCAAAAAGCCCTCAAACCTAGTTTCACATTCACAAAAGGGACATCATAGCAAACTGTCAACGTGACCATATGTTTACAAACCGTCTTACAAGGGACGACGCCAAGCTGAACTCTAAAGCTTACTACTTCATGTCTGACCCTTTGCTTTTTATGACGTTCCTGCTGTAAAAAAAAACAAAAAATAACAAACTGAAGGGGAACTCCACTAATCTGTTTAAATATTCTATAATTAAATGGTTAAGATGTGAACATCATATGTTTGCACCTTAGATGTGAAATGCTCCAGACGTCTGAAGCATTTCATGTCTCTAAAAGCTCCCTCACGGAAAGTTATTACATTAAATAAATATGATGCCTGAGACAAACAAGAGTTTTGAAAAGATTTTGGTTTAAATTTTTTTTTTTAATACCTTAATGTTGGAGAGGTACATGCAGACATTATAAGGAATTTTTTTCCTTTCGGATATACCACTATTTCACCATCACTGACATTTACATAAAAAGACTTGTCAAACTCAAAGACACATGTAGGTTCACCAGTTTTGGATAGCTGTGTTTTAGTCATTGTGACCCCTGGTTCCTATCACCACCACTGTGAACAATACTGACTTTACGTTTCTTTGCGATCATTTCACGGCAAACCACTCTGAACGAATGTCACGCCTAAGACCCTCAGCTAAGGCTAAATTGGCTGATTTTGCTGTCTTTCGTCACTCCGAAGTTACAGGGAATGCTAACGTGTAATTTGTCCTTCGTATAAAACACAAAGGCAAAACCAAAAAAAAAAAAACACTAAGTTACTGAGATTCAACTCCTCCAACAAGCGAGAATCAGCCTTTCAAAAAGCTGAGGACCCAAACATTTTGGCTTTATGTCAGAGGAGATGTGCTTAGTCATTTCTGAGGAGGTTCAATCCTCCTGCTCCAAAAGTGGCTCCAGCTGGAGGGTGCAGCAGATGACAACACAGCCAGAGCAGATGACAGAAACATGCTGGCTGGAAATCGAGGTGATCCGGAGGGCCGAACTAACATGACATCTGAGCCGCATGCAGCTCAGTCATTACTGTTCTACATCCTCCTCTACGTAATGAGAAATGATCCTGACATCTTCACAGCATGCTCTTTCAAATCGGATGTATAGAGTTGTAATGTATCAAAATATAAAGGGCTAATGTAATATTTTCAATACTAATCTCATATTAGGTTGAGCTTCACATTCAAAGGAAATTCCACAGATTAAATGGTTTAGATGTAAACATTTCATTTAGAGTGGTCTGGTGTGAAATGCTCCATTCCAGAGATACCTATGAATCTGAATTGTTCACAGCGGTGGCGATGGGAACCAGACGTCTGAAGAGTTAAAGGCCGCTAAAATCTCCCTCACAGAAAGCTATTACATGAAATGGTTATGAATACACTGTCTGGTTCCTAAGACACCATTTTACAATAGTTTTGAGATATGGGTCTAGTCTGAAACATGTATTTTTAAACTGGTGCAGACATACATGCAGGGCGTTTTTTTTTAATTTAACACTATTTTACCATCATCATGAACACTACATATTAAAACGGATTGTAAATAAAACTCTGTGTTGTGGACATCGGACATCGAGGTTCCTGGTTCCTATCACCATCGTGATTCCTGGTTCCCATCACCACCACTGTAAAGAAATCAGTAAGTTTCTCTACAGCAAACTATTTCACCTCACACTGCTCCCAATGACTTTGTTTGTTCAACCACTGAATTATGCAGAATTTTTTGTAAAAATGGTGGAATTCCTCTTAAAGAATACTGCAAATGGAATCGGCCAAGATTGGTATGTGCAGATCTTTGCTCCAAATACTCAATCAGCAGTTTTTTTATTTTGATTTTGGACAATCTGTGTTGCAATTTTATGTCGCAAACAACGCGAGGCAGGTAAGTGCACTCTTGCTGTATTTAAATGCAGCGGCTACCAAGATGTTGTTGTATAATTATGTATGACTCATTGAGCTTAATAGACAGTTATCTCTTTATGTTATTTAAATAGAGAACTGATTTTTTGATTAAAATTTAGATTGACCGTTTGGCCCACTAAAGCGCAAATAATGTTATTTACAAACGTGTCTCTGGCTAATAGAAAGTGATGGGAATGTCTTCATCGGCTGCACTGGCTGTTGTGCATGGATGGATGCGTAAATATGTGCACACACATATAAAGAAAAATCATACACACACTCACCCCACACACCTGCTCTGTTGATCTCGATGATCTCTTCCTGCGCTAAGGGGCAGTCTCCTCCCATGCTGCCCGAGCCCACCATGCCGCCCAGCACGTTACCCATGATCCTGTGCGGCGAGGCGGTGGCCATGGCCAGAGCATCAGGCTTGCAGTAGTTGGGCGAGCCGGGCTGCGGCGCCCGAGGGATGTGCTTGTTCTTCTTCTTGGGCAGCTTCTGCTTGGCCATAGCCAGCGAGTAGTACATGCCGAAGTTGTTGACGATGACTGGCACAGGCATGGCGATGGTCAGCACACCAGCCAGAGCGCACAGAGCGCCCACTAACATACCCGACCACGTCTCCGGGTACATGTCCCCATAGCCTAGTGTCGTCATGGTGACCACAGCCCACCAGAAGCCGATGGGGATGTTTTTAAAGGCCGTGTGGGCACTGGCCGTGGGGTCATCGGGGTCAGCGCCAATGCGTTCAGCATAGTAGATCATAGTGGCGAAGATGAGGACTCCCAGGGCAAGGAAGATGATGAGCAGCAAGAACTCGTTGGTGCTGGCCCGAAGCGTGTGGCCCAAAACCCGCAGGCCCACGAAATGGCGGGTCAGTTTGAAGATTCGGAGGATTCGGACGAATCGCACCACCCTCAGAAAGCCCAGGACGTCCTTGGCCGCTTTGGAGGACAGGCCGCTCAGCGCCACCTCCAGGTAGAAGGGCAGGATGGCCACGAAGTCGATGATGTTCAGCGCGCTCTTGAAGAACTCGGCCTTGTCTGGGCAGAAGATAACGCGGGTGAACACCTCAATGGTGAACCACACCACACAGACGCCCTCGACGTAGGTCAGCCAACTGTCCGTCACCACCTCGAACGACACCTCCTCCCGCGTCACATTGCCCACTGTCACGTTCTCAGTCTTGTTATAGATGGTGTTGAAGGCCTCGTGCGTTTCCAAGCAGAATGTGGAGATGGAGATGAGGATGAAGAGTAGTGACCCGAAAGCCACGTACTGTAAAAGAGAGACAGAGGGAGCGTAAGCTTAGTGCATTAGCTTTTCAAAAGATTTCCTCTAATGTAATAACACACCCTCTGTACTTCAGAGATTAGGATGAAGAAGACCGAGCCAAAAGCCACATTATGGAGACAGACAAAGTGTAAATTTTACATTGCATTAGCACTGAAAGATTTCCTCTAAAATAGGGCTCTAAATTAGCTAAATTAGTTACTGAACTAAACGTCAATGCCAGCTTTTAGAAAAAAATGACACCAGTTTTGTCACAAAAGTTGTCACAATACCAAATCTGTAGTAATAATACGATGAAATTGGACAATTCCAATTTGATACCACAGTAAAAGCAGAAACGCCACTAAGCGCAACCCTTTATTTCTGAACTATACTATTAAAATCCTCAGTGACTAACTATCAAATGCTAAATAATAAGCTTAAGGCCAAAGCAAATAGACCAAATATTTTGAAACCATTACCAACACAGTAATAGTTTACAATGTCCAAACAAATGCTGCTTTCAGGTACAAGAGTGGGGGTAGTTTTCTCACAGGAGGAACTCGTTCACCCAATGTGTGCATTTGTGTGGTTTATGTGAGACGAAAACAGAACACTGAGGTTGTAAAATGGGTGTTGTTGCATAGCAAACTGGCATCGATTGGTTTTGGCCTTTTTTTACTGGTGTTTTTTTTTTTTTAACTCAAATGGAACTAAAAAAAATTGTAGGTTGACTGTAAATGTTTAAATGTACTTTACCATTACTATCTATTACAGCTGTAAAGTTTATCTGATTGCTTTCTGTTGGTGGACTGTTTTATCCCCTGACCATGATGAAAACAGCAATGATGTCACAACTCTGCCAGTTCCTGTTGCATTGAGCATTTTTGGTGTACCTCATTTTTGGTTGGGTTGCCCAAACCACGAAAAAACAAACTGAAATCAAACCATCACTAAACGTGCAGTTAAAAGAACAGCACACATCAAAATCTATGTGCAGAAATTGAACGACTGGGCCTCCGTTTAGTGATGTAGGCAACAATGTGATGGATCAATCACAGCAAGAATAAAGTCTCAGAAGAGCGTTGAGCTCCTTTTAGGAGCCAGAACAAACCATCTTGTACAAACTCAAACCAGCACATCTCTCTGGCTCAAAAAGACAACAAGTTTGCTGTGATATTTCCTTTTTTTTGTAGAGTATAATGGTAGTTAATGGTAGAGATGCCACGGCAGCAGCAGTGCTGTGCGGCATGTTTTTCTGATACGTGCAGAATTCTTTAGTTAGGCAGGTTTGTGGTACTGATTTAACTACACCACTACTATAAAAAACACAGAATTGTTACATTTTGTCAATTTTGGTATCGACTTAGCACCAAATTACCAATACTTTTGATGTCCCATGCTATTTACTAAAAAACAAGCCCACTGTATTGAGCTCTATAATTTTCATGATGCACATGATCAGTCCTGTAGCCTGTTAGTGTAGAGGGGAATACAGCTTCTATTGTTTAATTACATGAAGAAAGAAGCTGCTTTTTGTCACTAAAACCCTTGCAGGAATGTCTGTTCACTCTGTGGCCATCTTGGCAGTTATATCCAGTTGTATATGACCAGGCTCTGATGTCTTTAAACAGGGAGGGCAACTCCCAAAACTAAAAGCCACATTAACATTTCAGGAACACTGCATGGATAGTTTAAAGTGTTTGGCTTTTCCTGCTTGCATTTGTTTTAGTAAGCTGAGAGGATTTTTGGCAAACAGCAGCAGCTGTTTTCACTGAGCTTTAAATGATGGAGGCACTGTGGAGGCAAGAGGAGACGTTTGCTGAAGAACTGTGGAACCAACAACTTAAATATCTATTTTCTTCTTACTTTCCTGCTTATAACTTGAGATATCAAGACATTATCGCCACTGGACTGATACAACACAACAAAGCAACCCATGCCTTCACACAATATAACACCTCTGGGATACGCAGGTTAGAAGAGAGGAAGAAGGGGAAGGAATTAGAGAGTTAGACATACTGAGATATGTGTGCAAAAGGGTGCCACTGAATGCTGAACGATCAGAGGGGATACAGAGTGAAAGAAGTGCGAGAACCAAAGGGGAGTTACAGGAATATAAGGGAGAAATACAGGACTGACATGAAGAGCAGACATGAACAGAAGAGTGGGAAGTAAGGTCAAAAAGAAATGAGCAGCACAAGATTGAATATGAGAGAGAGAGAGGGAGGGAGCCAAAGGAGAAGATGACCACATCAATATTCATAGAGAGTGGACAGAGAATAGTGAAATCAAAACTCAATCACCTTCACTGCCCCTGAAAAGGGCTGGTCATGCAGCGCAGATTAAGTGCTACTTCAGGACAAAATTACACTGTCAGTGTTACTTGACATTCATTTTAGATATCAGAGAGAAGAAAACTGGGAAAAGATGGTAAAAAAACAATGCATCCCAATGCAGAGCAGTGGTGTACAAGCTCATGATTAGCGAAACTGAGACAGAAATTCAAATTTAAAAATTTTAAAGTCAAAATTTGTGTTTTTCAGAATAAAACAGTGACCTACTGGCCAATCGGGGCTTTCTTTATCATACACAGATGCTCCTTACAGGGATTATAAGAACCATAGCAGAAAATAAAGTCTATTTTACATCTAATTTGGTGCTATTTCTATATCTAACATGCACACATCATTTGACGGTTCACATTATCGTCATCACTGTGTATGGTATGGTGCGCTAAAGTGTCGGCCACAAAAGCAAGGCCGAAAATTCAGGCCGAAAAAAAAGAAAAGATTAAACAGATCTACAACGAAGTCACCAGTCAGTACAGACACGTTCAAACAGTTTGAGCGGCAGCAGATCAAACTGTTTCTACGAGGGACATTTATAATCTCTGCTCATGTCGAGTATCAAAAGACCGTAAAAGGAAGTGTTACGGCAGTTTTACAGACACTTTCACTTTCAGTAAAGAGCTCTGGCACACACTGTTAGAAATAAAGGATCTGTGCAGGTACATTTTTCATGTATCAAGGTACAAACAACGTAAAGGTACCCACAAAGGTACAATAGCGGTTTTAAGGTCCAACTGTATGGCTTATATAAGTTTTTCCAGGTGAAAAGTACACATTTGTACCTTTTCATAACCGAATGTTTTAAAACAGAACAATAAAATAAAAAGCCTGTAGACGAGACGCGGTGTGTGGAGTCAGTACTGGGTACTGCCCCAGTGATAGTCTCGTACCTTCATTTCTGAGAGTGTAGAGCTGCTGCCGCTGTATTCTATTTTTACCACCTGACTGATATCTGGTTAGTCTAAAGCTCGTCGCAGTAAGTGACGTATCTAGAACTTCCAGAAGGCCTGATGTGACTCATAAAATTGGTCCCACCTATTATAAGTTAAAAGATAATTGGTTAATTCCTTTGTCACTTCCTAATTATGCTGGTGCTTAATAGGATGCACCAGGCCTTCAGTTCAGCTCCTGAAGGCTTAACCAATGGGAGAGCTTGCTTGGCTGTTTAAATACACCAAACGTTTAGATTCTATTAAATAGAAATGAACTACAATTACAGACATGTATTTTTCAGCACTCAGAAGTCATTAAGCGTTTTCTGTTCCACACTGCCTTATTGAAAAGCGCTAAGAGAGCTCACTGACACGGTGACAGGAGACGGCCTTGCTGTGATGTGTTTTGAGCCAATGCAGAGGGAATCTGAAACTTAACCTAGCAACAGCCTGCAGACAGGGGGCGCCAGACACAGACAGTTGAAGAGAGCGGGTATGTGTTAATGTGCCATGAAGACCCTGAATGCAGCAGCAGCCCTCCTGCCACTGCAAAGAGATGGAGAAAACACCACAGTAAGAGAAAAAGAGGGAAGAAAAAGCTCTAAGAAAGATGCCGAGATCCAGTAGATGCCAAATTTCAGAAGCATGGTGAATTAAAATAAACATGCTAGATTTTGATTAGAGGTTCTTATAAACAGTTATGATGAAAGAAGAAAAAAAGAGTGAGATAGAGAGAGATTGATTACGCAGGAGGATGTTATAGTGAGTTATAGAGGACTGTGTTGTGCGCAGTCTCCATTGTGAAAACAGAGATGTGTGTGCTCTGCTGCAGATGGATGTGTATTGATCGGCGTGAGCGTTCCTCCTTTATCTAAACCTCTCCTCCTATCACCTACAATCAATAAAATCTGTTCATCTCAGCCTGTCTGCTCGTGCCAGTGTCCACCCATACACACACACACACACACACACAAAGGCTTGTTTTTATGCAGCGTCAGGAAAAGAGAGTAGATATGTCCCATTATCTGTAATATATATACAGTACTGTGTAAGTCAGAGACCACATTTCTTTTGTTTAAAGCTGTACTACATAAGAAATAAAAATAAGCAGCATTACTAAGTCAGATGGTGTGCATGTGCAGCTGTGAGTCGCCCTGCAAAGCCTGAAATAATAATTTAAAGGTCCAGGCGTCGGGTCGGATTTGGCGAGAGTCATATGTCTTCACGTATTAATGCCACATACATAGGCTCAAAAAGAAAGTCCAGCTCGGTGTGTTGGTCCAAAATCAACATTAGATTAATAATATGATGACAAGAGTAGGTAATTTACTCACATCCTTAGACACGCCCTTTACCAAGTTCTGAGTTCTCTTTAACTCTTCAACATGTTTCCAATCATCAGATTCACTTTACAATATTCTCTTCCATTTCTTGCGTACAGTGACGGATTTCCAACAGAGAGGTTTCCAAATTCCCAAAACACAGTGTAGCTTTAATTTCCAGTTTGGACCTGTTTGTGCTTTTATTGCATAGCAAAAAGACAAACTGGGAGTTATTATGGGGAGAAACGCTGATATCACAGTCGGAGCTGAAGAAATATTTCACTACAAACTGCCAGGTGACTTGTAAAGAGAGAGCCTTGACCTCTGGATCCAACATTATAAACATGATAAAGGCTTTTATTTGTCTGTTTTACATGCAGCTCCTCTGTCTCTCCACTCTT